CCTTCAAGCTCGGCCCACTGATCGAAGTTCGCAGGGAGTGAGTGTGTTGATCCTCGTTTGAGCAACAACCATGCTGATCCAAGTCGTTGCCCACCGTTCGCAGCCAGTGAGTGTGTCGATCCTCGTTCAACAACAGCCATGCTGATCCAAGTTGTTGCCCACCGTTCGCAGCATGTGAGTGTGTCGATCCTCGTTCGACAACAGCCATGCTGATCCAAGTTGTTGCCCACCGTTCGCAGCATGTGAGTGTGTCGATCCTCGTTCGAGCAACAGCCATGCTGATCCAAGTCGTTGCCCACCGTTCGCAGCATGTGAATGTGTCGATCCTCGTTCGACAACAGCCATGCTGATCCAAGTCGTTGCCCACTGTTTGCAGCCAGTAAGTGTGTCGATCCTCGTTCGACAACAGCCATGCTGATCCAAGTCGTTGCCCACCGTTCACAGCATGTGAGTGTGTCGATCCTCGTTCGACTAGCAGTCTCCTTGAGGAAGGAACATCTGCGCGATCTACGACGACATCGATTATCATTCGAGCTCGGACCACGCTGATCCAAGCTCGTTGCTTACCGTTCACAGAGTGAGTCCGTCATTTCTCGTTCAAGTTCGGACCATGCTGATCTCAAGTCATTGCCCACCGTTCGATCATCGCCGATAACGACACTTGTTCACATTTCGATCAAGAAGACTATTCTATTCACAAACGTTCACAACCCATACCTCTCTTCAATCTCAACACTAATCCCTGCCCCCGCGACCGCGACCTAGAAGTCGCCTCAGGTAACGTCCCCACCTGGATCTCCGAGTTGTCTGAACGGTCCTTTCCCCTCCTCCTTGGATTTCAACAGCTCTCTCGACTCCACGCTGCCTTTCAATGGGTCTCTCCATGTTTTGCGCTGATGTGCGCTGCTCTCGCAACCTTCTTGCGCAAGTCGCAGTACTGTATAACTAGTGATTTATTTTAGTTTTTGATTAAACATTATCAGTAATTACTTACTTTGTCTTGCGGACCCATTGATATCAATAAAGTTATTGTAAAATGTAGAGTGCGTTTGAGTGCGTTTGTGAATTGATGTGATCGACAATCTGCTCTGAGTTCTCGTCGCGGTTCTCGATGACTGGAGTCCTAAATTATCAATCTATTTTTGGCTTATGTAATTTTAGAATATATTATTAATAGAGTTGGTTTTAAGCCCTTAAGTCGACTTAGCTGTAACTACTCGAGCCGGGCCGAACCATAATTACACAAGCCGTAACCACTTGTCAACTCAGCTATTTTTAGCTCGGGCCGCAGCTAGAACCGGCAACAAGCCAGAACCGCGGCAACACTACCCGCTGTCAAGCAGCAGTGAGGGATGGCGATCATGAGCATGGGTAGAAGGCTAGAAACCATCAAGGCACTTACATACTGTCAACAGGCGAGCAGCAGCGAGGGATGGCAATCATGAGCATGGGTCGAAGACTAGAAATCATCAAGGCACTTACGTACTGTCAACAGGCGAGCAGCAGCCAGGGATGGCAATCATGAGCATGGATCGAGGACTAGACACAATCAAGGCACTTACCAACTGTCAACAGGCGAGCAGCAGTGAGGGATGACGACCATGAGCATGGGTCGAAGACTAGAAATCATCAAGGCACTTACCCCCTGTTGCCAGGTGAGCAGCAGCAAGGGATGGTGATCATAAGCATGGGTCGAGGACTAGAAACCATAGAGCACTTACGGACTATCAACATGCGAGCAGCAGCAATGGATGAGAATTATGAGCATGTGTCGAGGACTAGAAACCATCAAGGCACTTACGGACTGTCAACAGGCGAGCAGCAGCGAGGGATGGTGATCATGAGCATGGACCGAGGACTAAACACCATCAAGGCACTTACATACTGTCAACAGGTGAGGGATGGCAATCATGAGCATGGACCGAGGACTAAACACCATCGAGGCACTTATGTTCTGTCAACAGGCGAATAGCAGCAAGGTATGGGGATCATGAGCATGGTAGAGCACTAGAAAATATCAAGGCACTTACGTACTGTCAACAGGCGAGCAGCAGCGAAGGACGAGGATCATGAGCATGGGTTAAGGACTACAAACCAACCATACAAGCACTTACATACTGTCAACAGGCGAGTAGCAGTGACAGATGGCGATCATAAGCATGGGTCGAGAACTGGAAACCATCCAGGTACTTACGTCCTGTCAACAGGCAAGCAGCAGCGAGGGATGGGGATCATGAGCATGGACCGAGGACCAAGGACTAGAAACCATAGAGCACTTACCCCCTGTCAACAGGCGAGCAGCAGCAAGGGATGGGGATTATGAGCATGGGTCGAGGACTAAACACCACCGAGGCACTTACGTCCTGTCAACAGGCAAGCAGCAGCGAGGGATGGCGATCATGAGCATGGACTGAGTACTAGAAACCATCGAGGCACTTGCCAGCTGTGAACAGGCAAGCAGCAGCGAGGGAGGGGATCATGAGCATGGGTCGAGGACTAGAAACAATCGAACCACTTACATACTGTCAACAGGCGAGCAGCAGCAAGGGATGGGGATTATGAGCATGGGTCGAGGATTAAAAACCATCAAGACACTTACCAACTGTCAACAGGCGAGCAGCAGCAAGGGATGGGGATCATGAGCATGGACCGAGGACTAGAAACCATCAAGGCACTTACGTCCTATCAACAGGCGAGCAGCAGTGAGGGGATGGCAATCATGAGCATGGGTCGAGGACTAGAAACCATCGAGGAACTTACGGACTGTCAACAGGCGAGCAGCAGCCAGGGATGGCGATCATGAGCATGAGTCGAGGACTAGAAACCATCAAGGAGCTTACATCCTGTCAACATGCGCGCAGCAGCGAGGATGGGGATTATGAGCATGGTCGAGGACTAGACACAATCAAGGCACTTACCAACTGTCAACAGGCGAGCAGCAGCGTGGGACGGGGATCGTGAGTATGGGTCGAGGACTAGAAAATATCAAGGCACTGACTCGCTGTCAACAGGCGAGCAGCAGCAAGGATGGAGATCATGAGCATGGATCGAGGACTAGAAACCATCGAGGAACTTACACACTGTCAACAGGCAAGCAGCAGCGAGGGATGGCGATCATGAGCATGGACCAAGGACTAAACACCATCGAAGCACTTACCCCCTGTCAACATGCAAGCAGCAGCGAGGATGGGGATCATGAGCATTGGTCAAGGACTAGAATTCATCAAAGCACTTACCGACTGGAAACAGGCGAGCAGCAGCGTGGGACGGGGATCATGAGTATGGGTCAAGGACTAGAAAATATCAAGGCACTGACTCGCTGTCAACAGGCGAGCAGCAGCGAGGATTAGGGATCCGCATGGGTAAACCCGCGGGTGTCTCGAGGCCAACCCGTACCCATATGCGCCACGGGTATGTACCTGTACCCGCCACGGGTATGTACCCATAGACACGGGTACGGGTGCAGGTGCGGGTGTGTACCCATGGCGGGTGTACCCTCCCCCACCTGATCCCAGCAGCCACCAGTGCTTAGCGCACATGCCTGGCGCACATCAGCGAATGCTGACGTGGCTCAGACATATGCGGAGGACACTGGAGAGCGCCAGAAGAGTGGAAGGAGGGACGAGACAGGAAGAACGAGATGGAGGGTAGGATGCAGTGTACGGCGCGAGTGGTAGTAGTAGGGCATGAGTGGTGGTAGTAGGGCGCGAGTGGTGGTAGTAGCACACTGTAAAGTTAAAGATAGTAGTAAACAAGAAAAAAACAACATGCGCACCTGGAACAAGCAGCGAACGACTGAGAGCAATGAGCAACGAGATGGGAAGAATGAGAGGGTGCGAGTGGTGGTATGCACAAGAGTAATCATAAGTTACTAAAAATGATCAGTTAGCGTGATGAAGTAGCATAAAAACACGCACCTTTGCAGCCCTAATACCACTAACTCCCCATCTAGAGTCGACTCTACATGCGCCGCGTGCGCGCGCTGTGAATGTATCCAAGCATAGAATGGCTACACTGCGACTGTGACGGGTACATCACGGGTACGGGTATTTGTGCGGGTCACAAAATCCTGACCCATACCCGTACCCGGCAGTACCCGTACCCGTGACCCGCTGCGGGTTACCCATACCCATGCAGTTCCCTAGCGAGGATGGGGATTATGAGCATGGTCGAGGACTAGAAACCATCAAGGCACTTATGTCCTGTCAACAGGCGAGTAGCAGCGTGGGACGGGGATCATGAGTATGGGTCGAAGACTAGAAAATATCAAGGCACTGACTCGCTGTCAACAGGCAAGCAGCAGTGAGGATGGGGATCATGAGCATCGGTCGAGGACTAGAAACCATCAAGGCACTTACGTCCTGTCAACAGGCGAGCGGCAGCAAGGGATGTGGATCATTAGCATGGTAGAGCACTAGAAACCATCGAGGAACTTACGGACTGTCAACAGGCAAGCAGCAGTGAGGAATAGCGATCATGAGCATGGGTCGAGGACTAGACACAATCAAGGCACTTACGTACTGTCAACAGGCGAGCAGCAGCGAGGATGGGGATCATGAGCATGGGTCAAGGACTAGAAACTATCAAAGCACTTACATACTATCAACATGCGAGCAGCAGCAATGGATGAGAATCATGAGCATGTGTCAAGGACTAGAAACCATCAAAGCACTTACGATCTGTCAACAGGCGAACAGCAGCGATGGACAGGGATCATGAGCATGGGTCGAGGACTAGAAACAATCGAGGCACTTACATGCTGTCAACAGTCGAGCAGCAGTAAGGCATCAGTGTTGTCCCTGCATAACTTCGTAAGCCACAATCTTACCAGCTGTTATCAACAAACAACTACAATCAAGGAAAACATATCAGAATCTCTACAGTTTCAACGCTTTGATACTTACCATCCGTGAGTACCATTACCAGGGAATCGTCAGATTGAATCAATCTTTGTCTTACTTTGATATGTGGAAACCACTTAGCAATGTCATACTGATAGCGTTCATCATTGATTTGCTTTTCTGCACGATCCACGAGCGTTCTAGATGATGTTGAAACAAAAATATGTGACTTGCAAATTTGAGACTCACGTGGTGGGGCACTTGATGCAAAGCTCCAGGTTTGATTTTTGTGTCGACACCAAGCACAACCGCAACTCTTCATCGTCTAGTGTGAAAGTGGTGTGTTCCAGTAGAATGTTGCAGTTTGTATCCGTTTAGTTCATTTCTAGCACGGTTGCTAATGTCAACTTTGACATGGGACAAATCAAAACTGAACCACTTACTCTGCAAGCGTACATGGGACTTGGGACGCGCACGGTTTTCGGGGTTGCACAACTGATCCAAAACTCCTGTCTTAGTAAATAGTTCCTCTACGCCCTCGGCAATCCTCTTTGAGCGGTCTTTGGCCGATACCCCTTGTAGCTCCTTCTTGATTTCCCCATATGCGACGGGACGCAGAGCTTCGAATTTGGTGAACACCACGATGACAGGAACTGAAGATCGATCATTTAATCCGAGCACGGCAACTGATGATGAAGTTGCAAGCTCACCGTGCCCGGTGTCGCACTCCCGGAAGAACTTCTCTTCTGACCACTGGAATGTTCGACAATGGTCGTCCATCGGAATGCAATACCTGATGGCAATCAAAAAGCGCGGATCGTTGGAAGGGGGCTGCTTACCAGATAGCGTGAATTCGGTCCTCTATTTTCATTGCATGTGCGCGTTCTGCAATAAATTCCTTCATGCTCTCGAATTCTTCTTCAGATCCCGCTTCGAACCCACATGAGTCGTGAAAGACAAAAGTAGGATTGCTCTGGAAGACCATCTCGTTTGCGATGTTGTGACTTCCACGCTGAGCGTCCGTCAGAGCATGTATGCCCATAGGGAAAATCATGCACACACCTTAATCGATGATTTGACGATGGCAGTATTGATCTACTCGCAACTGATCAGCGATGGACGCGTGCATGGCATAGATCATCACCCGCACCTTGTTTCCTTTGGTATCGTAAATTTCTGGTTGATCCGTGGTGTTGCAAACCTTCTGAAGGATGGTCGTTTTGCCTGCGTTTGCTCTCCCCACGATCAGAACTCGAAAGCGCCTAATCATCCTTCTGAGTTCCTGGGCTTCGATGGTTGCCATTGGGAGATCTTGATGTGTGTCCTGAGGGTAGAGATAATTTGGTTTATCGTGAAAGCTGTACTGCGGTACAGAACGAGGTCGTGGCGAGATATGGCAGCGAACGAACACGAAGCAAGGGTTCTTATGGCTTGTGGCACAACAGCTATACACGGCGTCTATATCTTATCTATCTCCCTGCCAATCAGGCAACTGATTATAGCCTCGCACAGATATGAACTTGCACCTGTTCAGTCGTTCGGTCGTTCGTACGATAAAGCACAAGGATTACACAAAGAATGATACCGAATAATGAGATCATCGATACAGATATGAACTATAATGAGTGATCAGAATACGACGGAAATGACAGGATTTCGCTCTTTCCTACCGTCTAACTGAGAGCAGTGATATCGGAAATCTAAGCTCAATCCTCCGAGGTCTTCCAGACGATCGATCCTTGAAACGTCTGAGAGAAAACAAGAGCATGTCAGGATGTGAGACACCCTCTGCAATGGGTGACATCCCATAATGCTCGACAATGTCTGCACATTTTGAGTTTTCCCCGGACGATGTTGGCCTGAGCATGAAATAAGGGGCGGCGGAGCAGTAGATGCCGTGCGTGTTGGCTGAACCCGAATGTCGACCACGCTCGTTGGAAAGGCCGATGTAGCGGGCCGCGGGAGCTTGTGTATTCACATATGACTCGGGGCAGGTGTGGTACACGCCCGCAGATGAGTGCGACTGTCCATCATACTTCATAAAATGGCGCATATATTGTCAAGTATCAAAGAAGACGTACCGGTCAACATACATAGATTCTCATGGATGGCGTGCATCTCACTGGATTATGACAGAATGCGTCCCAATAACCCTTGAATATTCACAATGAACAAACTTCTTGCAGCCTCAAGAATCGCAATATGCTCCATCGTCTGACTCAACCCTCCTCCGACTCTTCTTGCATTGCTGGTGCCTATTCTGATGAATAATGTCGTACAAGCTGATTCCTTCTCGGTTCTTGGCGAGCTCTGGTGTCTTTCGACGGTATTGAGATCACATAGAGATCATATAGCGTCAACCGTCGTGATATAAGGCAATGAAGTACATGGCCCTGCGCTTGGAACGTACAAAATTACATGCCTTGGCAAGGATACGATCAGTACAAGAACTCGCAGTATGAGCCAAGACTCACTAGTTTGAACGGTATGCGTGATTGTATGCCTCGCATCCAGCCATTTCGAAAAACGTCGACAGCATTGCGAGACATAACGTTGAATGCCGGCGCCCAACCATGAAGCTCGATAATTATCTTGCGTATCCTTCTCTGAAGCTGAATGTAGAAGGTAGAGCTTGACAGTGGTAATGTGATCCCCTCAATCGAAGGCGAACTACAGTGGGAATTTGAGCCGTGTGACTGCTTCTGTGCTGAGTCCGGTGTCTTCGTCGTCTAGACTGGCTGTTTGCGTCTGTGAGACAAACGTAAGGGAGTGACGACGGTTATTACGCTTCACGTGCGGATAAACATCCTCCTTAAGGACACACTCGTCCGCATCTTGGCATCGCCGTCACTAGGGTCTGATAGTATCATAGTAGTGAATCTGGGGACGGAGATCGTCGTAGAATCGCATGTTGATAAGGTGAAATGGAAGGGCGGACATCTGTCGCCGTGCCGGGAACCTCTCCAGAGGCGTCGTAACCTGCAAAATGGGGTTTCCTGTAGGGATAAATTGAAATCATAAGTCATCGTAGTAAAAAGCACAAGCAAAATAAGACAAACCTTTATACCAGGATCACGATCCTGTTCATCCTGCTGGACATGTTGTGGCTCCCGATCCAGAGACCTACGAATATCTGACGCGCTACCGTAAGTAGAACAACCCCAGGAAGCAGCAGAGCTGGCCATACTAGTATGCGTTCTTTTCCATGTCCCCTTCGTATCAGGACCTTGAAACTCTGCATGCCGTCTCCACGTTCCATAAAGTAATTGGTGCAGCTAGCTCTTCCATAATCTCTCGCAATCGCAGTGGTATTTTTTGGTGTCACTGAATCTGTAAAGGAGTGTGAAATCTTAGGCATGGTGTCTCGAGGAAGGCATGTCTTGCTGACACGAAACGCTGACACAACGCAGGTCACAGATATGTTTAAATGTGCAACATGCGCTCTGCTTGCATTTCGTGCGTTAGAGGACTAATGATAAACGTAATAAACGACTTGGACGAATGACTCAATCCAAACATTAGTCACATGACAGGAAGGAGTACGTTTTCGAATTCATTCGATCGATGAGCACATGTGTCTTGTTCTTATCATCACGATTCATCTCATCTGACCAGGTTTCGCAAATTACACTCATCTGTGATCCCCGTCGGCCACGCTCCATTACTACCAGGTTTGCTGGCTGGGGCTCATTGGCTATTACATCTTTCACATCATGCTACGCTGCTGCGTGTTGGTATGTGATATTAATGCAATAATAAAATACATGTGCATTCGTAGATGAGTGTAAACATGAACATGCAATGCGATATGATAAGTGGGCTCGACCGTGTACGAGACCCTTGGTAGAGAAAATGACAACACAAAACGGCCCCAACCCAATAGGTAATCTATTTATCCCCGCAATCCAAATACTGTGCGACATGCGCTTTTGAGGCCCATCACAGTGCGCTGAACTCACGACAATTACCGCGGTAGCCCAGGCCCATTGCTAAGCTCTTGTGCGACCTTTTGCACAAGCGTCATGCCTAAAGGCTTCAGCACCTCCTCCCATATTTTTTGGCGCCGCCTGCCCCCAAAAATACTCGAACTTCGCTCGCCCGTTTCGCCCTCAGGGCCAAAAACGTACACCTTGCCATGAGAATTGTCCCATGGCCGCTCTCCGTGCGCGAATGTGATCCACCGTTCTTGCATCGCATCTCGCACGCGGGCATACATCAACTCGTCAACAACGGGTTGCGCCCACCCGCCGAAACTCGACTCTGAGCCGAAAGAGAGCTTGTCGATATCCATGAAATCAAGCTTGTCCATGGTGCACGTTTTATCGAGAATCTCGCCCATGTCAGCAGCAGTCGATCTTGACGATGGGAGTGATGGAAGCGACTCGTCATCGTCGAAAGCAGTAGGTGAGGACGAAGGTGATAATGGGAGCGGGACGTTGTCAAATAAGTATACTAAATCTGCTGCATGGTGGGGCATCCCTTGTGTAGGACCCTCCTGATCAAATATATACCTCCAGACCTGTCGACCAGTCTTCTGCGCAGCTTGAGCAACACATTCCGTAGGCCACGCTATGCGTGCATCCTCCACGATCTCAAGCAAATGTTCGGTAAGATCTTCTGTGAAAATGTGCGAGCCTATCTCATAAGCATTGAGAAGAGCAGAGGATTTTGTGATAGACTGGCATATCGCACGAATTCGTCGCACGACAGCAGGGGCGACCCAGTGACGCGCAGGCTGAGACCAAAGAGAAGAGTCGCATGCGCAGTCACCGATAAGGAGAGGCTGGAGACCAGGGATGGATGTAGGGGGGACGACGGGCTGACGGCCGCTCATTGGATGCGGGCTTTTTGCCTTGCGAATGGCAAACCGCAGCGGATTCAAACCCTTGTCAAGATGACCTTTGGTATGTTCTTCCGACCCTGAGTGTGGGAACAGGAAATCTTTGAAACCTTTTCTGAAGAATACCCCGTCGTCGACCGCGCGGAAGGGGAGATTGACGTTGATGAGTGCCTCAGGACTTATAGCACGGAGTTGTGCGACGGAAGAGGCATGGAGTGGAGCCAATGCTCTAGACATTTGCCATCCAGCTGAATGTGGTTCTGGAGGATTGTGGTCGATGATTGCGCTTTGAACAATTGCCCGAGCAAACAGGGGGCAAGTCAAGTTGGCATTGGAGTACAGGTGGGCGACGATATCTGCTGCTCCCGAAGAATGTCCGAATAGGGTGACATTGGATGGGTCTCCTCCAAAATCTGCGATGAAACGGTTCACCCATTCCAGAGCATGACGTTGGTCACGCAAGCCTGTGGGATACTCATCAGTCAAAGCGATGTGAAGGACGCAAAAATAGACTAACCATAGTTGCCCACACCTTCGTCGCCTGCTGTTCGGTTATCTTCTACCAACTGCATGTTGGCGGCAACACCAAATACTCCTATGCGAAAGCTAACCATGAATGAATACCACTGCCCTGATACATGCAAGGCGGAAGGAAACGTACTTGATTGTGACCATTATGACCGGTAAACCAATACAAACGCTCTTTCTAACAAGAGCGCCGCCATCGTAGATCCAACTTGAGCCACAGCCACGGTTACTTCCGCTACTCGTATGAGCGTCTATCACACAGCGAAGAGTACGAGACTAGGCTCACCCATGGATCCAAACCATAACCGGTATTTGTGACTCACGGTCATGACCAGCAGGACAGGTGATGTTCAAATTGAGACACTCAAACTCGTCTTGTTTAAAGACTTGTCTTGGGATATCACAGTCGGCAAGACCAATGAGCTCTTCTTCGAGACTTTTTCGGTCAGGCTGTGGGCATATTGGACTGAACGAGCATGTTAGCAGTTGAACAGGCACAACACAAAAAGGAGACATACCCATGGCGGGTTGCATCAACTAAGTGGGGGTATGAAGTGACAAGTTTCGATTGACGGAAACGGGCTGGTACAGTGGCGTATTTGATTCCGCGGAATTGGTGTATGGGTACATCCGGGGTGGATATTGGATGATCGATGCCTTTGAAAGTAGTTCCTAGCACGCTGTGATGTAGGATAGCATGCGAACGATCGAGTATCATAGCGAATTGAGAAAGGGAAGGGAAAGCAAAGAGGGAGTTTTCGTGGTGTAGGGTAAGGGAAGAAGAGATGGAGTAGGTACGCTGTATTTGATCCAGGCATGTCAGCCTCCTTGTATACTGTCATCCAATACTAAATTGGGTCAACGCAGGCAAAAATCCAAGTGTAGCGCTCAGATAGGCAGGTCTGTCGATCGCCACACGTGACGAGCGGGGTAAACCGGAATCAAATCAAAATATATTTCCGACAAGCCCGAGTCACCAAGCCCATTCTCGTCTGGCTTCGAGCCTTCGTAAGTTATGATCCGGTGACCAAGGCAAGTGAACGAGGACTATTAGAAATTCAGAATCTTGCCAAATCAATTGTGCCGTTATGATATAAAGAACTTACACGGCAAAGGTCATGGGGGCCATGACGTATAACATTGGCGGTGCAATCATTGGGCCTGATCGGTTCGAGCTGACCGGAACCACTAGGAATTATGATTATCGGTGCACTGCTTCCAAGCTCTGGGCGTGGCAGAAAAAACCAATTGCAGTTTTGCGGGATTAAAATCGAGACGCATGTTGATGAAGCAAGTATCAAGGATTAGTTGGCCCAAGGCATGTGTCCGATCTGCATCATCGGGTTCAGCAGCACCGTCAAACGCACAGAAGCATTCTCATCAAAAATAGTGGGGTCTCACACTGGCATGATGATCAACAATGTAATCATGACGAGTGCGAGAATACACATGTAACGACAAGTCCGACAAACAAGAATGTTTAATGACTGTCACCAGTGACCACCATCACCAATACAACGCCCTGGCCAAATGGATTATCAAGTACGTACGATCAGAGGTAAAAAAAACGACACTTACCTCAGTGGGTACACGCGGTGCGGAAATTTGACCTCTGGGTTCAATGCGGAGGATAAAGACTGTCGGTCAACTTCATATCAGGGTATCAAGAAGAGCTTTTATATCGTGTTGAGTCCATCGATGAAGGTCATTGGTTTCTTTTGGCATCCACGTTCGGATCGATACGAACACAGATTCCCACAATGAAGTAGCCTCGTGACTGATGCCGGCGAAGCACGGAGTTCAAAAATGTAATCTCTACAAGAGTACATACATGGATTGATTCTCCATTACTTACCCATGTTCATATCTACTTTGAACGTTCTCGGCAACTCTCCAACGGACTTTACAAACACGTTTTCAACGATACAGTTCCAGCAAATACTCTTTCGCGCACGGCGTATCTTGATTTGGTTTCCAAAGGCACCAAAGATCCGAAGTTATTTCAACTCAAGACCAACTCAAGACTCTCTTTAGGAAGACATGTGATCATACCCGATGATCACAGATTACTAGTACTCTCGTCGTAGATTACAGGAATATAGTATTCGTTTGATCAGGACACTGCTCACGACAAATGAGAGTGTTGCAGTGGTGGAGGATAATATGGTTTCATTTGTTGCTGGAGCACAAATCTGAATGGCACTGCTACTTTGACCGGCACAGCCGGCACTGACAAATTTAAAATTCCGCTTCGCCTGGGTCCGCATCTATCCTTGTCCCGTGGTTATAAGCCAGGCACCTATTAAGTGCGGTAGTTCGGACTCCTGGCAGAGTCCAGGCTAGTCCATCAGCGTAGGTTTCTACTTATCCAGGGTAGCTTGCAATTGGGCGCAGAGGATGGCAAAAGGATTGCAACAACCATTCAACCTAATGTTTAATCATCCTGAAGATTTCATCTCCTGATCAAGACACCAAGGTGAGGCTCTTTGCATATGGGATGGGGGTGCAGCCGGCCGCTGCTCTGATTAAGCTTCTAGCTTCAAGACCCGTCGGCGAGTAGTGTTTTCCGTTGCAGTCGTTACGCGACGTGCGTGGGAGGAAGCACTTCGTAATCCCGTCCCCCGTGACAGACACCTATACGTTTTGTGAGACTTCATCAGTCGGGGTTGTCTGCGACGTGCATAGCCCTGCAGGCTATCATAGATCAAAAAACTCGCGAGATGGCATAAGAACATGACCAGCGTCATCCTGTATCACCTATCTAGTCGGTCTTGCATCTTAAAACTTACCTTCTCCTTGTCTACGCAACATTTCTGATGGTGGCATTATACTACTCCCCTCAGCTTAGTGGTGAGTTAAATTTCGTTAGTATTGGGTACTGTTATGTTTACCGTCATCCGGAAAGTCGTGGGATTGGTATCGCACAGTATCGCCATCATCTGCACCATATTCAGGCTCATGTACAGGAGCTGGATGCGTCACTTATGGTGGGATGATGCATGGGCGGCACTTGCACTGATTGCAGATGGTAGAATTTTCCTTGTAGGCTACCTTGGACAGTAAGCCAACCACATCCCCTCAGCTGTTTGTCTGGCATGTATTTGGGTCGACAGTGCGATAAGTAGTGAGTAGTACTTGAATTCGCATTCCAAGAATAACATGTTCATACCACTCCCAGCATGGGCCCTCAGCGTCGCATTTACCACTGTTTTGTGGTGCGCATCACAGCTTACTCGGTTGCATTTCTAACAGATTGCTTCAGGGCTGCGCGCATGAGCGTCATTTTTTCGATCATCCCTGTCGCCACCCACTCAACATACAAGATCCATTCACAGATTACCTATCTCATTGCAGTATCTTTTGCGTGCATGTGGGCCGCGCTGGTCGCCCAGAAGATCACTATCTGCGAATTCCACTCTTGTCACATGGGCAAGACGGTGGCACTCTCGCTTTTGATAAGTCAGTACCTATGCGCTTGCTCTGGTCCTCAAATAACGGGTATCACAGCGGACGTCATCGCGGACATTTCCCTCGTTGCTGCGCCGCTTTATCTCTTGAAAAACATACGACTTTCGCGTAGCAAAAAATTACTGGTCCAATCTGCATTTAGCGCATCACTCGTAATTTCTGCCATCACAGTCACTTACTCCATACTCCTCTTCCTCAACTTCTATAACACACTTACACTCATGTTTGCGCACATCAAGGTAAGCATCCCCCCGTCCTCGCATTGCTTTGCAAAATGCAACCGAAATTAGGCCGCACTTAGTCTCATCGTATGCAATCTCCTGGTGATCGTGACCTTCTTATATCGCGTATGCTCAAAGGACACTGCATTCGACTTGAACCAGTCGATCGCTTCCAACGGAGTCTTTACGACTGTCATAATAACACCGATGGGCAGTTGCACGAATACCCCGGCATCGCTTTCTTTACAAGAGGGGATGACATCGAGACAGCTAAAGGTGCAGGCTGGAGGGAAGGAGTCGCTTGATGAAGATGTGAGTGTGCATTCCGCTGAAGAGGGCACTGAGTAGCTAGAAACATTCAAAGATGGAAGCCCCGCGTTTATTACTTGTACTAAGGTGTTGTATCTATGCCCCGTCAATACTTTGCAAATCTAGATACATGTGACTGTATCCTCGATCCTGTTTGAATATGTTGTGGCTGCATATAAGAATCTTCTGGAACTGTGCTTCCCACGATCGTGGCAAGCAACTGAAAGTAAAATAAAATAAATAGAACAGCACGACATCCGACGTCTTGTTTGAAAAGCGACAACTTCAAACTGATGGAGAGAGATGTTCCCATATGCATAGGTCGGATACTGAGTAGCGAGAATTCAGATTCATTAGAAATACACACCTTCGCAAGTTTCTTCCCTTCGGTTAAATTGACGAAGTACCATTTAAGCATCACCGTCTTTCAAGTCAGGGGAGGACATTATGGGACAAGAAAGACTTGAATGTACAGTGAAGGTTGTTGCACGGTGTCGGAGTTGGAGAAAGACGCAAGGCCCAGTGTTGACATACGTACTCGAGACCTTCGGAAGTTGCTCGACTTCGTTCATGAGCTTCATTTGCATAACTCACAAAGGCCTGCATAGCATCGAAGTTCCCCCTGTTTGAGAGAAACCGGTGGCCTTGTGGGGAATGTCATGACAGTCTTGTTACTGGTAGAATTTGTAGAATTGCCAACATAGAATCACCAAAATGATGTTGGTGCCGTGACGTCAGGAGGACAGGAAGAATCAAGAAAGCTGGCTGGCTCTTGCATTGCTGAATTATTCGGAAAGCTGGCAGTAAAGGCGATTTTGAGACGATTGTGTACTCGTTGATAGCTTCCGATATACTCGAGGTCTCTTCCACTGTTGCCCAGACCCATACTGCAAGAATCTATCGTCATGCTTGGCCATTGTACATCTGCAGCCAGCCTTGCTCATTCGAGGTCTGCAGCCAGTCTTGACCGCTTGAGACCTGCAACTATTCTTGACCGCTTGAGACCTGCAACTATTCTTGCCCGCTCTGAACCTGCTGGTCCCTTCTTGATCGGCAACCATTCTCCTTCTGGCTCTCCGACCACTGTTCCCTGGTGTGTCTCCAGCCAATCTCGCCCGTGCATGGTCCTCAGCCACTCTTACTCGTCTGGGGTCTGTACTCAGGCTGGCCAATCCCAGGTTTCCGGACTTGACCCGCTCCAAGTCTCACACTCTTGCTCGCCCCTGAGGGTCTTCAGGCACTCCACCCCCTGCCGTGACCACCTCCCCAGTGGCACTTGCACCGGCATAGTCTTGGGACAGTTACGTTCGCTCGAGTCTTGACATGGAGTCTACGAGAGACCAGACGAAGACGGAACCCTCAGCAAGTATTCCAACGTCCATGACTTGTCCTGGGTCGCAAATTAATATCTCCCTCCTTGGATTCGCGACCGGGAACACCCGTCCGGAGTTTCTAGCCAGAATGTCATCCCGGGATGGTGATCTCCCTGAATCACAATAGACCCATAAGAATTTGTAGTGGCTCCGGTGGCTCGATAGTGAAGGTTAATAACTCCTTTAAGCTCTGGTCGCGGGTCTCCCTATCTCGGATCTTGTTCTTCGATTCTAAGAAGGCGTTCAAGAGAGCCGTACTTTCTAGAATGTTGTACGTCATTAAGCGGAAGGACGAATGGGCGAATAAGCAGTGAGATTGTATGAAGTGTTGTACTTACTTGATAGAGGTTGCAACTTCAGGGATTGGAAACGTAATCACGAAGCGACGAGTAGTGATTATTGATGGGGAGACTGCTATCGGTAGGAAATTTTCATGACACATCGTAGTTGCAACAATGTTATTTCTGCATCCCTGGCCTAACCAGGACCAAGAAGTGTGACAGCAGTAGAGGGCTCGCCACCACAGCAACCACGGACAGTGCATGTATACCCACTGTGGGTTAGCACATGTCGAGAGAATACAGTCATATTACTTGTACACTTCTGTTCCTGGTAGTAGTGCACGCGTAAGTTTGAGCATGAGCTGATGCCGATCACTGTGATCATTCTACCATCGTCGATGAACTTTATCTGCGTAGACACCACGATGAAACGTTTGCCCACTCGGCTCGCCAGCCGCTAGATTTCAGCTGTCGCTGGCAGCAGGATATTATAGCGAATTTTCGAATGCCTTCGAGGAATACAAGAAAAAGATGTCCTTGTCAACATCTACGCCTAAGGAGGTGATGATGATAACGCTCTCTCTGTTACCCGCCGTGCCATGTAACCAAATGAGTCGACTTTTCTCTCGGTTGTCTGATAATCCGTAGAGGTGGTTGAGAAGGACCACTCGAGCGTTTATCCAACAATTTCTACCAGTGGTTAGAAATCAGAGACAATGTTTATCTCGAGGGTCAACGTACGAAGACTCGAAGGATCGCAGACGACTGTGAATTGGCTCTCGAGGCTCTTTTGGTCCCGGGGTAACTCGTGAGACGATGTTTCGGCGTCAGGATGCCCAGTAGTGTGTTCTGCAGTTGTGACTCATGGTGAATGCGGAGGGTCTAAGAGCTGCTTGAGACCGAACTTCCGGGTGAATGTTTTAATCCGATTCAGAACTGTGGGAAGCTATGATGGCCGCACTAGGAGCAGAATCTAGATGAGTTGAAGGATAAGTAGACGAACGTGAACCGTCTATTTACCGAGAGCTTGCCGGTGGGCCTGAGCGTAGGCTGAGATGATACGATGAGCGACCTAACCAGATTGTGATCGACAGCCACCTTGCAAGGGGTAGCCTGAGCGCTCGATAGGCTATGCATTTCGCAGTACTGCAACGGGACCGTGTATCATGCCGATCAGTTCCGTCTAAATATTTGCCCTAAAATTTGGACGAGTCAAAGATAGGTTGATGGCTTGGCAGAAACCTACCAAATACTAGGCCGTCCACAATTGAAGGATCCACCGCCAACTGCCGGAAAGATATCGCCCAGCTAGGCCCTAAAACGACTTATCAAGCTGGACGGTAATTAACCAATTAGTAAGCACAGAGACGACTCTAAAGTAGTCACGCAAGTGGTGGAGAGTCGAGACTGCTCGAGATCGGACGGTGAATAATTCCAACGTTCCAGAATCCGGATGGTGATATCAAATGTAAGTACTAGTATTATGGCAGTGGGCCACCTTCTATTACATAGTCGGACGCGAAGAAGCAAACCAGTAGTGCAGGCCAATTGTGTTCATTTGATTGTAGCATTTCATAACCGATGTCAGTACATATACACCAAGTACAACAAAGTATGCATATGTCTAGCAAGTAATACAAATGCGAATATAAGCCCGTAACATGCTATCCCAGATAACCCCGATCCCAGCAAGTAATATCAAATTCTTGGATAATTTGAGCGGATCAACCGCATTACTGTACAATATTTGGCGTGGTGAGTGGCGTGAGTATGAAATGCAGATGAATCAATCATCGCAGGGTGGTGATCATGATGAGCCAGAGATAGCGCCATTGATGGCGTTCAAAAGAATGTTGTTGTAGTCACCGCCCACCTCCCACAGGGCGAAACCAGCCAGGCCAGCCTGTTTAATGAATTTGCCCTTTGCGGCTGCAGAAAAATTAGCTAAATTCCAGCTGTTTAGAGCGGGAAAACGTACTGAAGGATTGGGCATCATCGTAAGCTACCATAATCTGTGTGTTGGGGTTGTAGACGTATGGCTAACAAAGACAGGAATTAGACTAGTGAAAAATTTGCGAACAAGGAACACGCACCGTCTGGCTGCAGTTGTCGAAACGGCCGGTCATACCAGAAGCGACGCTACCGTCCTGGTTCAGGAAACCGGCATCAATGAGTCCCCAGAAGTTGAAGTCCCCAGAAGCAGGCTGGTTTACACCGCAAGCATCTGGACCGGCAGCATCCCAGCTGTCACCGAGGATGGGGTTGTTGGTGTTAAAGGTGGGGTATGAGGCCAACACGTTAGCCTGGACAGCTGCAGATTGGCTGATGGAGTAGCCATGTCCGTAGCTAGGCACACCAAGAACGATTTGGGAAGCAGAGAACCCAGCAGCAGTCCAGAGCTTGACGGCAGAAGTTGCAGAGCCAGTTTGGTCAGCAGCCGGAGCACAAGAGTCGTCTAAAGGAGAGTTGGGGCCCACAACCTTGCTGAAACCGTCGCCGTACACGTCGTAGTTCATGATTTCTGCAAAAATATTAACGGCTATAATGGCAAGCATTGACCAGTCTACTCACCGACGTAATCCAAAACCTTGGCAAAACTGGTGAGGTCAGTCGATGGGTTCCCCGTAGCATCGTTCCATGGCTTGACGGGGGTGGCGGCGGAGAAAGACACATTCGGTAACGCCGTCTTCAGCTCCTGGAGCGTAGACAGAAGATTGGCAGTATCCTGAGGCGACTGTGTGTTGCAAGAAAGACCGTTGGCACTACCAGGGTACTCCCAGCTGTAAAAATCAATGTCAATACCGAGAATAACCACGTCGAGTTAAATGTACATACTCGAACTCGACACCTTGGAAGCCATACATATTCACCATACTGACGATCGACTGGACGAAAGTCGTACGGTTGCTTGAGGTGGAGATAGAAGATGAGAAATATATGGAACCATCCCAACCACCAATAGTCAATACGGGGACAACGTTCTGTTATCCAGTAAGCCAACCATCAGACACAAAAAGGTATAATCATACATTTTGCTTGGCGGCAGCAACGAAGGTGACAGGGCCGCTAGGGGCGCTGTCACTGACAGTCATTATAGCAGTTCCACTAGCGGAAGTGATAGCTCTATATATCAAAGTGAGAAGAGTTTGCACGGTGATTCTGAAAGATAAACTTACCCGAAGTAAGCCATTCTGTTGAAGCCCTCCCATTTGATGTCGGCAACCGTGTAGTCGGTGTGCCAGTTGGCAAACCAGGCCATTGCGATAGATCCATTACCAGGGTTCACAGGCGTGGAAGTAGACACTGGCCCAGAGGCAGAAGTAGAGGTAGGTGTAGTGGCACTAGCAGCAGATGATGATCTAAGGGAGCAAGTTGGGGCGGCAGCTGCAAAGGGCAGCACTAGCAGAGAAGCTATCGCCAGAGAAAATTTCATGATGATCAAAAGTGTTGAAAAAAGATGGACGTCGACAGTGAGTGAATGCAAGCGAGAGTTGTAAGTAGGTGCTAGCTAGAGCACGAATCGCAATCAGGACCAGGCCTTGTAGCAGTTGAAAATCAGACGGGAAAAGTAAAGAAGGACAGACAGGCAGACGGCCCTTTTGTAGCTGTGAGACAACGTGCGGACCCTCCCAACCGGAAAGCGACCCAGCCACAGAAGTCATGCATGATCAATGCGGCGCCACTAAGTAAATGCCTAAATTACACACACTTTTGTTCTTTTTTTGTCCACCATGGTCATAGTCCTCCTGTGGGCGCTTAGAGACTAACCTTTCTCACGCTTAACAGGCATTGTTCGTTGGTACCGTTCCCCATTGATCGATGGTAAATGGGCTCAATCTATGCCAATGCGCCAAAGAACCACTCAATCTTCGTTGTGCATTGGTGAGCTCCACATGACTCGGAGAAGGTGCTGCTTTTTGTTTCCAGGAATCTATGGTGCACGCCTGGTTCAATCAGATCCATAGGAGATCATCATCATCCAATGGCGGCTTGTCCCGAATGTCAGTCACCGGGCAGTCTAAATCTCTACCACGGGCCCTACTTCTAGGCTACCTACGTAGCCGTCGAACTCGACATGCGCCAGGGGTCTCCGAGGCGCAACAACTTGTGATCATGGCGTGAACTTCTTGATGCGCGTCCTTCGAGATCAGTCCGTTGAGCTATTACTAATGTTATGATCCCTGGTAGATTGGAAGCAAGAGTTTCTTATAGTAGAAAGTCGGTGAAACCTTTTGCTAGTCAGTCTCCAGTAGCTGACCCAACATCAGATACGACAGTCGATGTCTTCGATTATGCCCTGCTACGTAGTCCAGCACGACTATACGTGATCATCATGGCGACAAATGGCCTTCACCGACGGAGATTAGTATGCTAAGGAGGTTCTCTCGACAGTTGCACAGTTGACGCTCGGGCAGGTCGTCATCGTCGTCACTCTAAATCGGATGATCGGTTGCAGGGCAGGTTGAGGCTTGAGCATCCATCACACAGCAGTCATTGAGTTGTCAACGTATGTATATATCTCATTTATTGTTGTCCTCCAGCGATGCCATCGATCAGATCGAGTGCGAATTCTACGTGTATTTTTCTAGTCGTGAGAGTAGGAGGCATAGTATACATTTATTTACAACAGTTCTCACTGTCTATACATGCTTCGCAAGAGCTATTGTTCGGTGTTACACAGCACAAGACGAACACAAGTCCTGAACGACAGACTTCAGTATAAAAGCCAAGTGAGAAAACCGCCACTGCCCACCAATCGCCAGCATCGTCAAATCACCATCCATACAACAGATGAGATCCGGGGACGCGCTGCGAACATGTTGCCAAAAAGACGGGCAGAAAAGAAGCGCGGACGCGAGGACTCCGCACATCTGACTGTAGTGTACCCTGTCTTCTCAGCTACCTGCAGCATTCAGCATGTTTGTCGTCCGAGTTCATAACGAACAACGAACCTCCCCCTTAGCCATGAATATGAAACCAAACAGGCTACCTTGAGGCGAATTCTCGACCAAGACCCTATCCACCACCTCTAACAAGCCCTATTCGTACAGCAAGACGTCTAGCTTGGTTTGCTTCGATTCTTCGAGATCGAAACAGGGATACGGCTATGGCGACAGTAGCGAAAAACAGGTTGCACGCCACGAATTCGTAAAAATCAGCACGCTCTTGTGCGGGAACACGACCACAAGGCTGCCATGCAGGAGTCTCTCCGAGAGCTCCCGGGGGTGGAGATATAGGGTATGGTTCATCAGGTCTTGGTGTAGGTATGGTCGTGTTCGAACAATGCATGAGTTGACGATTGCCGAATGGATGACAGAAGGGTTCATGAAGCTACAGTTATGTTTATTCTCCGTCCAGCACATTCATGTAGTAGAAAACGTACAGCATCTAATGGACATGGTTCACATGCGCCAAATGGGCGACAAGTGACAGACCGGTTCTGGCTCGGATCAACGTGTTGAGCATGAATGATATTCACGACACATAAAAGCATAAAGCTGCAATCCACAAGTTAGACAGGCTATGATATTTGGAGTTGAGAGATACCCACAAAATGAGTTTCATGACTGTACTCGCCGCCGCCGTATGCAACATTGTGAAAGCATGAATGTGAACAGGCGTGAGAAACCCTCGCTTGCTTGCCTCATACTTGGTTGACGCCATAGTAAGTGCGATCTTCCAAACCATCACAGTGCCAAACTCACTACTAGGATAGGTTCTGCAGCTTAAACATGTCTCGTCGTACAGCAGTAATCGAAGAATTCGACGATGACACTGACCTCCCCCTCCCATCGCGTCCACTCAATGTTGGGCCGCGCGGACCCCTGCTCGAAGAGATAGGGCATTCCGACGAAGAGGACAGTGAGTCTGAATCGGACGATGCGTCTGCGCTTGGCCAAGCATCACAATCACAATCACAATCACAATCACAATCTTCATTCCATGCCCCAACATCGTCTGGCCAATCGCTTGGTCAACCATCCAATACCGTCACTGACATCACGCCTTATAAGAAGTACGTTATTCATACAACTGTTCTTCGCTTGCTAAGAATTCACTAGATGGACGTGCATCTATCCCATCTATATCGACGCGAAACGCCCATATGGGACGGGTGAGCGCCGGGTAGCGCGCGAGAAGAGCGTTTGGTGGCCTCTAAGCAAGGATATCGCAGATGCGACTAGCCGGCTTGGATTGGGCACCTTGCATGAAGTGCAGAAATCTCATCCTAGAGACTGGGAGAACCCTGGTCGTGTGCGCGTGCAGTGGAAGAAAGATGGGCGACTGTTGAACCCCGCGATCAAAACGAGTACGGGAATTCATTCTGCCTCTTCTTTAATAACTCAAGTATGTTCAGAAAAACAGCTGCTGGAGATGATATCATTCCAGATCCAACGGTTAAAACAAGATAATATTCCCCGCCCGCCATACGTAATGATCCCACCCCCAGTTTCTGCCGCTCAACCAGCGATCAAAACTCCTACCTCCGCGAAGGGCAAGCAAAAGTCTAAAGCGGGTTCTGGTGTTGCTGTGCAGCTTTCCAAGTCAAGTCAACAGCGCTTGCCTACACCTCCGCAACCTCTGCCAGCTTTGGCAAGCCGAGTATCTCCTTACTCACCAGCTTTACCCACGGGAATGCTCATCGAAACCGTTAAAGCTGGTATGAGTGCGCAGGAGCCGGGTGCAGGAGCTGCTCCTGGCCAACCGGGTATCCAAAAAGGTAAACGGAAGGTTCTCAGAGTTAGGGGATGATTTAGGACTCGTGTATGGTGCAAATTCTCATGTACAAGATACTTGGAAACACTCGCGAATTATTGGTGGTGAATTTTTATCATTGCCATTGGTATGGGTAGGCCCGTTGATGCGAGCCCTCTTCTTTGCCTGACCTGTGATTAAGTTATATTGAGTGAATAGTACAGGAGCAACAGTGGTGAAGTATCCATTGAAGTACACTTTGAGACACTTTACAAACTATATAGTCGGCTTAAGGTCCAGGTGTTTCAGTGCGTGATTCAGACGTCTTGGATGCGCCTGCTACAGAGCAACCAATATGATCATGTAAAAGGAGCAAATTACTTGTTGTGATTGTTGGCATCCACCTCCAAGCAGGAATAGGGCCATCTTCCATGCCTGAACTTGTGAGTGCTGGTTTGATATCAATACACTGACAGGAGGCTTCACATGGCATGACCGCTACTGCTGCATCTGCGTTACATCTGGCACCTAGCGCACTATTTTCTTCGCTTTGGTCAGACTCACCACCGGCAGCGGTCGCGCCTGCCACCGCTCCATCGGCAGATCCATCGCTTTCACCTCTATCGCCAACAAGATCTTCAGTTCTTATGATGTAGGCGTATCAGCTGCCGAAATAATGGTGACTATGATAAATGCTTACCACCCTAAGGCGTACACGTCCTTGCCTCGGTCCGCGGTGTCCTGGTCACACTCAGCGTGTGTGAGAGGGAATTAGTCGGAAATGACTCAAGTGACGCAGAGTCATCAACATCCACTGGATTGGGTGGTTCAACATCGTGTATTGTCGTAGAATCGCGCACAATGGTCCGTGAGTGTGCCCACCGCGATTCCAAAGGTGTAGGCAGGCAGGCAACTTTGTACGCCCGCGTCGCCATCGGAACTGTAGGTGTGGGCGGCAGAATCTGTTCATCCTGTAGGAGTCACATTATTATGATGAGAGAATTATTAATTGCGCATGCATTGACTTACAATCGTATTTTGATCTTCTAGGCCTTGTATGATCGGAATCATAAGATCGACGGCATCCTTGTCATTAAATTCCATACTGTCATCGCCCTTGCGTGCAAACGTGTGGAGTTGATCTTTAGTTCCTAACATGCACCATCAGCGGTGTGTAAATGCATGAGACTCAGCGCCCATCACGGTTCCATCAGCGAAAGTGATGATGAACGTACACGCGGCAAATTTGCAGACCTCGAACAACGTTCGCTGCCATCAGACTCTGGGTCGAAGAGGCAGTTGCCTTCGCAATTACCAAGTGCTGGACATACGAGAGCAACTTGATGATTGCAGCATGATCATGTCCCTCCAACTCGTGGCGATGTTGGATGCGTGCTTGCATTATGGGGTCTATCGCCACGAGTGACTCGGAGACTGGCGCTATTGGGTGATATTCAGTGATATCTTAGCACCATCGTACCGTATCCATTTCTTCCGCTTGATTATATTCCCAGTTTCTCCAATTATTACATTTGTGTGCTCCGCAATCTCAAGTGTTTTCCGGAGGCCAGCAACCAGTGGATGCTACGCAGAGCATGAGCCAAACTAACCACCTCCTCAATTTTCTCAGATTCGATAATCCCCGGGTCCTTGCAGAGGTTCGTGGACATAGCCTCTATTTTGTCACCCATCATATGGCTGTGGCGAAGCATGCGATAGTGCAACAACAGAGGCTCGAACCAACCGTTGACCTGCCGGAATGAGCGAGGATACAAATGACCGCCATTAGCCACACCGTGATCCTTGCCGTTGCCCTGTCGTGATAGCGTTTCATTGTGACGGTGTGATAAGTGCCATTTGGAGCGCAATTGCAGGTATTCGGAGTACTTGTCCAGGCTGGTGGTGTAATTAAAGGCCTTGGTCCCAACATCCTTCAGAGGTATGTTTCGGAACTGCTACTTACTATTGCATAATTCGAGAAGTCGTCATTAGATGCGAGCAGCCGCAGGATGTGACTGTAGAACAGAATGGATTGAATGAACATCTACAGCAACATGTAAGGTCTAGCTGTGCATACTATGCGGACGCAGCTTACCCCCATCACAACATTGATTAATCGGGCCAGCCAGGTGATTTGGAACTCTTTGCGACGGCGGAAGTGTGATTCCAACAGCAGGAGATCGATGGGAAAGCATTAATACGAGCTTCTCGTGGCCGAGAACATTTGTCAAGACTCAACCGCCCATTCCTCTGCCTGTTGGTAATACCTTGACTTGCATAAAAGGCATGTGCTGGACAGTATGATCGGTATGGCAGTATCTTCTCGCATTGCTAGAATCCCTTCTTTCCTGGAGAATCCGATTAGCTTGTTCACCTTCACCTGCGTGCAATTCTTGTATTTTCCAAACAGCAGTGGATCCTGGGTGTTGATGACACCAATATATGTCACACCCAGCCTGCAATTCGCAAGCTACGTGTCCATTCTCCAAGTTACCTGACCTGAGTCGCTTCTTGGTGCTTTCGCCTCCACTGAATGCTTGTCCATCGTTGCGCGCAATTCGTTCACCTAGTAAGCCCATTGTTCATCAGCTGTCTTTCTTATTGTTTGACATGTGTCTGATCAGTTGAACACGTAGACCTACCATTGGTCTCTCATCCGCAGACGAGTCACATTTGCGACGGCCCATGTCATTACAATGGTAGGTGCGTTTGCAGGAGTGTACAACCGTAAGCGCAAATTTTCCAATTCAAATTTCTATCGTCACATTATTTCTCGATCTGCCCAACGAGCTGAGCACTCTCTTAAGGTTGGCCAAAGCTACGGAAAGTTTCAGAACGCGAACTCAGTTTTGAACGTAAATGGAAGCTGCTTACAATGGTGCGAGTCAGATATCTTGAGAGTCTAGAAGCGCATATGATACGGCTTCCACAAGCTTTTACGAGAAAGGGGTGTTGGGATCGAGGCAGTGTGATACCTGGCAAGGCATCATATCGTTCGGAGGCTCTTAAAATGTGAAGTCAATCTGATGCGCACGCTTCCTTCGGATTTATCCGCCTAGGGTCCTAAGGCCGACGATGATCTATACTGGCAGCGTTATGTATTGCTAAATTTAATAAGCTGTAAGACCAGCTAAAATGGCAAAACCAGACTCATTTCTCCTACATAGTTACATCTTAACGAGTATGTCAATTGTGTCAACACTGCAGAGAGTTCTGGAGTTGACGGGCCTTGAGTTTGGCTGATTAACCGCTCGCCGCAGGAGGTTACAGCGTTGATGAGCAAAAATCTACGTGTAATGAGCATTCATTGGGATACGAAGAGTGATGGACGCGAGTGCGAATGCAATCGAGGTGATGCGTTCTGGAACTGGATGCGTGTGCATCACGCTTGTGAATAGATGATCCGAGAAAAAAAACAGTATAACAACACACCTTGACCATCAGAACTTGAAACATCAAGACTCTGTAAACCCCGAAGAAGCCCATCGAGAGCCCAACAGTGAGTACTAAGACCAGTTATGCCAATCCGAAGTGCCTCCGACTCCAGCTCCTTATTGGCCAAACAAGCCTCACATGCGCATAGCTCCTCTTGAGCTTGTAAAAATTCGGTGTCGGGAGAGCCATGTGACGTAGAAATAGCAGAAGGGAAAGAGCTAAATTTGGTAGATTCATCCCGTGTGGTCTTGGAGGATTTGGACAATTTGATTAGACTGGAATGAAGGTTAACGGAGAGCTCGTAGAGAAAGAGTTAGAACGCACATAATTTCCCTGTCACGGAGAATAGTTGCTATGTCTTCCTCAAGCTTTATCAAGTGGCCAAACCAGTTGCACCAGTTCTCGACCGCCTGATGGTGGAGCTGAAGAACATGGTCCGCAAAGAAGAGAATATTAACGATGACCCAGGTGCCACTAGAGAGACTGAAGAACTAGGAATAGCTGAAGGAGAGGCAACCACGAATATTCAGGAAGAGATACGAGAGCAGCGTGTGATATGGCTCATGTTGAGGACCGAGGTTGCAGTAATCAACAACTTTAAATTTGGCGACCGAGTTAGGCTTTGACTCGGAAGAGTCTACTTCAACTTAGGCTTGGAGTCACAGTTCAAATAATTCAAGTTAGCCAAGGGCCCAGGGGTCCATCATAGTAGAAAGTTAGTATGTATCTATAATTTATAGAGGAGAAAGTGATATAATTTGTAGGTCAGTCACGATCGTGGCAGGCAAACATCATATCACTGCGGTCCGACTTGTTGAGGTAAACCAGCAGCCCGATCGGACTCAATCAGGTCGGCAGGCTGTTCCCGTCCCAAGCAGCACTGTCCGGAACAAGATCTATAGATGCCATTTAAGCTTGGTGGAAAGAGACGGAAGAGACAACATACCACCAACAATAAATGCATCAGGCTTGTTTATCTAAGCAATATCGAGGTAGGTGAAGGGCATCAAGACTCCACCGTTTCCGATGCGCCACAGTCGCTATGATGTATGGTTCGGGAAAGAACAGCGAACACCACATTGGAAAGATTCTGCATGCTCGTTATGTCATCAAGCTGAGACATGCAACTAGTGCTGCCGTGGTCCGGTTCGGTCCGGTTCAGAGGGTCCTGGATGAGAACCGAGAACTGGACCATGGTCCGGTTCTGCAAAATCTTCGAACCCCGAACCGGACCATAGAGAATGGTTCTCTATGGTCCGGTTCGGTTTTTTTCTGGTCCGAACTCGAACTGAACCTGAAAGTTTTCAGTGGTGAGCGCGAAAAAAAGGGTTAATGTCTCGCGGTGATTAGGCAAGCGGAGTAGCTCCATGCTCGGGGGGACTCGTTGAAATTTTATTGCGAAACTGAGAGACAAGGTACAAGACATGACGGCATAGAGAGTAATAGACATGAGACTCGATGAAATGTGCTCAAATGAGCAATAGAAATGCTTCGGTAGGAGGAAAAGACAAATGTGAGTGACGGAGGCACGAAGGACATGCTCACACGAGGGACAGAAACAGGGTGGGCGGGTGACGAAAAAATAGACAGTGCAGAACGTCCACGAGCAGATAGTGCTTAGGGGACAAGTGTGTGACGTGTGGAATCATGTCAGTTGGACATTTTATATCCAGGATGAAAATGAGGCTTACCAGCATCGCGAATCGATTCAACTTGGTTAAACAAGTTTAACCCCGATGACATCGAGTAATATGGGGGGATGGATGTTTTGACTCGTTGAGGCAGCCCTGCGTCTTGAGAATTGGGGAGGTGCGACAACTTCAAATCACAAATATTGAAGCGAAGGCCATGTTCCATCACTCGTAGCGATGCAAGTGCAAGGTCATGTTGTACGTTCGACACCTCGATGAAAAAGTCTCTGCTGGATGACTTGTCTGTCAGGAAGTTGTGGAAAGATGCGTGAAGGGGTCGGATGGGAGTGCATGAGTTGGTGGTGCCGCTGAGGAGGGATCCCATGCGTGTGGATTGTGCGCTGGTAGCGATGGGTGCCAGCCCTTGAGGGAGCCATCAGCGCTCAGCATTCAGAGCACAAACACGCACCTCTACAGCTTAGCGCAAGACACAATCCCTCCAAAATCCACCTTGACCGCGCCTAATGCATCCACCTCCAGTAAAAGGTGGTCCTGTGCAGTGTTGTAGCCGGTCCTCAATAATATGTGCCGATGCTCCCATGAGTATAATGTGCGCCTTGACAAATGTTTGAATTTATCTGAAAATGATTGACTATACTTATCAGTCCCCCATCCAGAGTCGAGTCTACATGCGCAACGTACCTAAATAGTGTCAAGATTGATTCAGACCAGTGCAAACACAACCAGTCTCCGCCATGTGCATTGGAGAATCCTGGAAAATATATCAAAGTAATATATTGGTTAGTTTATGAGCTTGATTGACGGTTAATTGGTACCTTGAGCTTGATTGGACAACTGGGAGCACGAAATGCGAGTGTCTGGACAGAATTGAAAGATGTCGAGGATCCCAGAAGTCGAAGTACCCATGAGTGCGGAAGAGAAGTTACCAGCTTTGCAAGGAAGTTTCGGTTCGCGGTCCCTAATGGTTCGGGAAGGTCCAAACCCATGACTGAACCGTCCCAGGAACAACGAACCGTGAACCTCATTTCGGTTCGGTCCGGCCAAAATGGGGAACCATGGACCGAACCATGGACGAACCTGACCAATGGTCAGGTTCAAACCATGGTTCGGAACCGGACTGCGGCAGCACTACATGCAACGAACCAGAATCTACTCTGACACGGAGATGGCCTTTGCAAGACACCTAGGTGTATCTTTTCCAGTAACCTGAAGAAGGAATAGCTCAGCTAGTTTGCTCATCCGCACTTCCCGCAGGATCTAATATGTGGCTGTGGGATGGAGGATTGGAAGAGGGTATCATGCATGGTCAGGCTGTGCTTCGCGGAGGATGTCTTAGTACATCCCGATACATCATCAGTGAATTGATGAGTCCGTGATATTGTAGCCATGAGACCTGTAGACAGATATAATTATGCTTTTCCTAAATATATCCATATATTCCATGAGAAATCTTAGTTTGTCATACATACTTTCCAGATCTAAACTTGCAAGACACATCAATGACGGAGTTGAAGTATAGTAACATCATATCCTACAAGTCACAGTAGCGTGGCGGCCACAAATTGAGAGCCCATTCTCCCTATGTCTTATGTATGGTCCAGGCGATACTGTCATTATTATGCATAAATTACGCTGGTAAGCGACTCCATCGTTATGCATGGCTCACGCTAATCCTCGACTGCCGTTGCTTTTATGCATAACGGTGCCTGTGATGCATAACGGTGTCGAGCACTTCCTGCTGGCTATCCGCACGGACCGCACCTCAATTTGGCTATCCCGATCGTGAATCTACTCCTGCGTACCTGTTCCTGACATCCCTCCCAGCTTCTTGCTAAATTGAGCCTTGCTAGATCTTTATCCGGATCTTATGAAGGAATTTTCACCAAGTCCTTTAGTCGGGCGCGATTTCTACCAAGTCCCACAAGTAATAGACTGTAGTGTAGTCTTTCGGCATTCATTACAGTTGGAGTACATGTCTCATGTCTATTATGCGTTGATGTGTACTAATCTAAGATTTCTTATGTGATGAACAACTTGAACGACGACAAAAACATATATTTCGAAGGTCACAAAAACATCTACTACATGCGAGCAAGAAAGAACAACGTAAATACATTTGTTTTGCAAGAAAACACCATCGACAATGCAACTATGTTACTTTCCTATGGGGTACATGAGTCCAGACCCTTCAGTCATTGGGCACGTAGAACTGGTACCCCGGACATGTCAAATGGCTGTAGAATGTGTACCAGCCAATGTCGGCCGGCCTATGTAGATACAAGGCTGGCCAGTAGGTACAGTAGCTATGGCCGGTGTACCTGAAATATGTAGCCAATATGGGCAGTCTGTGACCAGCCGGCTGAGCACCTCATTCCAGGCCGATGAAGTTGGCTGGTCATGAAGGTACATGTGCACCCTCTGCTATTTCAAGTAGGTTGAGTGTGTTCGTAGAATGAGTGCTGGCCGGGAACACCTGTACTACACCTCCAGCCAGCACTGCTCCTACAGTAATGTACAATCAGGTTGGCCGGCTGGGTAGACTGTGTTCTGGCCGGGCAGTCCTACCCTATACTGTCGGCCAGCATCACAACTACACCCATGTACTAGCCTGCTGGCCGTGCTGGTAAGGAGTAAGCCGGCCGGGTATACATGGCTGATGCCTCCGGCCAGCACTGCTATCACACACGTAGAATGCATGCTGGCCAGGCAGTTCTGCCCCATGCCTTCGGCCAGCAGTGCTACTGCATGCATGTACTAGCCTGCTGGCCGTGCTGGTAGGGGTGAGCCGGCCGGCTATACATGGCTGATGCCTCCGGCCAGCACTGCTACCACACAAGTAGAATGCATGCTGGCCGGGCAGTTGAGCCTCATGCCTTTGGCCAGCAGTGCTACTGCATGCATGTACTAGCCTGCTGGCCGTGCTGGTAGGGGTGAGCCGGCCGGCTATACATGGCTGATGCCTCCGGCCAGCACTGCTACCACACAAGTAGAATGCATGCTGGCCGGGCAGTTCTGCCCCATGCCTTCGGCCAGCAGTGCTACTACATGCATGTACTAGCCTGCTGGCCGTGCTGGTAGGGGTGAGCCAGCCAGCTATACATGGCTGCAGTGATGTAAAAACATGCTGGCCATCTTGGCAACAGGTATCCTGGCCGGGCATTCCTGCCCTAAGCCTCCGGCCAGCACTGCTAGTACATTGATGTATTAGCCTGCTGGCCATCTTGGTAGCGCGTATCCCGGCCGGGCATACCTGGCATATTTGCCAGCCTGGTAGAATGTATGTCGGCCGGGCAGTCCTACCCTATGCCTCCGGCCAGCACTGCTACTACAATTATGTACTAACATGCTGGCCGGCCTGGTAGCATGTTTCCCGGCCGGGTATACATGGCTGATGCAGTCAGCCAGCACTGCTACTACAATCATGTACTAACATGCTGGCCGGCCTAGTAGCATGTTTCCCGGCCGGGTATACATGGCTGATGCAGTTGGCCTGCACTGTTACTACATGCATGTACTAGCCTGCTGGCCAAGTATACCTGGCTGGTGCCTCTGGCCAGCACTGCTACTACCACACATTTGTATCTCGTTGAGTATGTAGACTGGGACCAGCCAGCTTTAAGATAGAAATACAAACAATGACAAACAATGAATTGCGGACACATGACAGCACAACAGTATGATAATGAAAGACTATTCTAAATCAGTTGCATAAGGCCTTCTTGGAGGGTTGTCTAGCTCTGAAGGATCGCCGAACAAGGTCAGTTTTGGACTTCTTGGCAGGAGGTCCTGATACCCCTGACTTGCGTCTTTTCTTCCCTTTCTTCTCTTCGACCACATGCTCTTCCTGTACCCGTTCCTCATCTGTGTCCTGCTTCTCGACATCCCCGTGCTCTACAACATGCTGTTCTTCATCTTCCCTGTCCTTTTGACCCTCGGCAACGTGGTACATCTTCTGCAGATCCGCACTCTCTTTCTCCAGCATCTTGTTTGAATCCTCCAGCATCTTCTTCGACTCCTTGAGCTTTCGCATCTGCTCCTTCAGCACCGCCATCTTCTTCAGCTCCTCTTCCAGCTGCCGTCTTGTCTCCTCATTGTCCTGTTCAGCCATTCCTACCTCCCCCTCCTGTCCTCCACCCAATGCGTTCTGACCAAGCTCTTCAGGTACAGCTCCATGACGAACAACAGCTCCCTTGAGGTCCGTATCCACCCTCGCCTTGGACATGCGCACTACCCCTCCCTTAGCTGCATTGAGGGCGTCCAAGATGAGGTCGAGGCATTTGATATCCAAGACAGAAGTACTAATGTAAGAAGGGATATCAGGGGCGGCCTCATCGGCTTCATACTCAATGACACGTTTGCATTCTCTCAACAGCATACCAAGACCAAGGGCCACTCGCATGGCTGAAGCCGAGGCAGAGATCCTGGTAGATTTGATGATCTGCAAGAACTTGAGCAATTGATCGTCTGAGTCGTGCATGGTCTTGGGAAGATATAATCTTTCCCAAGACCATGTTGCCCAGGTAGGCCATCCCTCTGGATGCTGAGAGGTTCGTTCCTTTCTTAGGTAAGTATCAAGTTTGACAGTTTAAATATAAATGGACTGGCTACCTTTTTCAAGTCCTTCATGGGCTCGACAAAATGCAGATATTCGCTATTGCTGCTGAGAGCCCGTAAAAACGACATACGGTCCTTCATTGGCACGGCTGCAGGTGCCCCACGTTGAGCCGAGGATGGACGGCTAGTGAGCGCTTGCAAATGAGCTTCAGGAGCTGATAAAGACAGGTCATCGTCTGAGCTGTCTGATTCTCCGGCTGGCATCTTCATATGCTTCGTAGGCCGTGAGCCGGCCAACATGGTGAGGGAGGTATGGTCGGCCGGCTGTTCAGGATGCTTTGTAGACTGTGAGCTGGCCGGTTGCTCTGTACCAGCAGCAGATTGGGTGGGCAAGGACTGCTGTGCATTTTTTCCGTCAATTTCCACGTACATTTTTTTCTTTGCCTTCTTCATCGGAATAGCATTCGCCAGCCAGGCCTTGCTCAAGTCAGCAACCCTGCCGCCATAAAAAACAACTAACTTCTCCTCTTGTGACCTTCTGAGATCCCAATGTCGCCAAAGCTTGTTCACCTCCGCTGCCCTCATGTGAGATGGATCCTTGAAGACAAAGTCCTTGGGGACACAATCCAGATCTACGTAGGTCACAGGATCAGCAATGACCACACCCCAAGGTACTGGCTTGTTGCTGCCGGTGAAGACTTCTACAAAACAGACACTCAAGTTGAGCTGTAGGAAAGTCAGAAATGGACATTTACTTACTATATGATGCATGAAAAATTTGACGAATTAATTCTTGTTGCCCCTTGAGGGGAACATCTGTGCGCGAAGGTAGTTTTGCAAAGCCATCATTGTCCAAGACGACTTCAGGCAAGGATGGCTTCTCCTCCTCCTCCTCCTTGGCGGCGTCGTCGTCCTCATCGTCGTCAGCAGGGTCTAGTCATATTAAGTACATAAGTATCGAGTAGCATACACATGACCTGATAAATTGAAAAACTCACAAAATTCTTGCTTTGACCACTCCGAAAACTTTTTGAAGCCGTCGGTCACCCATTCCTTGTTGCCTCGTGAACTCACTGTAAAGGCCTTCTTGGACGTGACAGGTTCAGACTCATGGCTTAACCAAGATGAGATCCTATAGTTCGACTTTGAAGCCAACAAAGAACACGTACATGGAGACACCCAAGGACATCTCCCCTGATTTCTTGTGGCTGACGAGCATGATGATTCGACATCCCATAGTACGAGCAATTTCCTGTGAAAAGTTGTCGAGGATTTTTTTGAGGTTCCTCTTTCGGTACCTAGCAATGTGTTATAGGAGAGATTAATTCAAAAAGATAACAACTTACATTGCCTGAGATTCCGCAGGGGCACCTTCCTCATTCCATTTATCTTTGGCCCGCTGAACGTCCTTCTTTTGAGCAGAGGTCATATTATTAAACCACTGCCTGGCGTGACCCGTACGGTGCCTGATAGAATGAGTGATTCCCATCTTCCGTTGCTCTTCTTTGTCATAGTCGTCGATCTCCTGCCTGAAGAGCTTCTGGGCGACGTCCCAATCAGTAAGCTGCTTCTTGTAGAACGAAGCATCCTTGGGACGAGCATTAGCCTCTCTCTCTTCTGGGGACACACCAGACTGGTCTCCCCCCTGATCATTTCGTAATATATCCTCCTCCGCCCTTCGATCATTCTCGTCAGTGATGAACTGGAAATAATAATGTCTAATGGCCTTTGTATTATGTAGTGTTAGTAATATTGTGAACTCAAGCAAATGTCATTACCATTTTCAGGGCCTTTGGCAGATCCACAGGATCATTCTGTGACTTGTGAACCTCGACAATCGCGTCTCGTGCGTTACAGAGAACCTGATGGCGACGCGTCGATTGTGGATTGTTTGCCTCTAGGAATTCCTCCTTGTACTCATCAAGGATCTCTTCAAATGATACATACCAGTCAGACATTGAGGGATTTGGAAATATCGGCAGAGTGAGATTTATGCGTGATGTAGATACGACATCAGCCATGATATGTGAATTTTCAACAACGCGGTCACGTGCAATCAAACACGTATCAATCACCAAGACGCAAACTGGTTGATTAAACTAATTCGAAATTGAAATGAAAAACACAGGTCAACAATGTAACTAAGATGAGACCAAAAGAACACTTTGCAAAATCACTTCCGCCCCCTCTTTGCCGACCCTCTAGATGTGCCCTTCTCACTCTTGCGCTTGCCATTGGTCAAAGAAGGGGGTGAATAAAATGTAGACAGCGACTGAAACCAACCGGACTTAGTGGTCCTCGCTGAGTTCACCATGAATCCCGGAGGTCTCTCGATGATGAATTTGTGGGGTGGGAGCTTCTGGGCAGTACCGCAGTTGGAGTACTTACAAGAGTATACGTACCGGTTAACAGACGGCTCCGATGTTGCATCCGACTGAGGAGAGCCTAAGCGAACCGTCAAAGCGACCTTTTCAGACCAGGATTTGGTCGAACCGCTGTAGAAACAACAATACTGTGAGGAACAAATGATGCTCCAGACTGTATCTGTAAATGTTGTGAGGTCGCGCGTTGCCTAGTCTGCTATACTTGAGACGACAAGTGCGTTCGACCCTAAAGGGGAAGCGAGTGCAGCAAGGATCTAGTAGTGCACGCCGAAGGCGCTACTGGTCGGCTGATGCGAAGCGCGAGAAAGTGCGCAGGTGCGCACAAGGCGCGGGAAAGCGAAGGTACGCGCGAGGCGCGGGAAGCGCGCGCGCGCGTGAGCGGTAATGAGAGAGAGTAAGAGTGAGTTTGCTTAAGGGGTGATTAGATACTAGACAAGAGATACGAGCGCGAGGTGTCAAAGAATAGATTTCTACTATGTTCTCCTAGGTAGTATGTGGGTGGTAAGTGGGAGGTAAAGTTCTTGTTGGAAAGTAAAGTGTCTAATAATATGTACTGCTGGCGCTTATATGGCGCCTAAGCGCTGTCATGCGGAGCCGAAGCGCTACCGAGTAGGTATGTAAAGATATATGTAAGTAAGGGTCCATGGTAAAAATAGAGGTGGAACGATATGTAAATAAGAGAAATGGGAATATACGCACTAGAGAGCTTGGTGGACAGTGGATGGATGCTTCTGGATGGCTGGCGCTATAGGGCGCTCAAGCGCGGGAAAGCGCGCGCGCGTATACATCGTAAAGCGCGGGAAGTCGTGCGCGCATGCTGCGCATTGCGTGGGAAAGCTGTGCCTCGTAAGGGAATAGCTGTGGATAGCACACAGAGTGATGCTGCAAGTCGTGCTGTATACTCCCTAGTGGAAAGTGCCATATCACACAATGCGAGGCACGAGTCTCTACACCGCATTGAGGGCACTGTGCAGGCACCTCGATCCCCCAAGGCTGAGTCTGGGTGTGGGCGCGTGCAAACGTTGTGCACTCGAGCTGGCAGTTAGGACTAGTGGTGTCCAGAGTCATCAGGATGACCTTGGTGTGCAATCCAAGGCGGCCGGACAGCGCTAGCAGCTCAGGGAAGGTCTTGCGAACACAGAGCTGTTCCACCAACACCAGCTCTGCAAACACCAGGAAGAAGCTAGAAGCCACAAGTGGCTGGAACCGTTTGGCTGTGAAAACAATAGCAGAGGCGAATTTGAAGTGAAGAATGGCGGACATGAGTTGGTTGTAGGTGTCCGGACACATATTACAGTGACCTATCTCCGTATAATACGAGGGAATGGACATGCATAATATCCCGTATGATACGGGCCAGCGGACCATGGGCCCATGATAAAAATATCCTCGACTATGACGGATGGGCCGGGAGGCAAATTATTCCCGATGGAGGCGGGTGGGCCCATGCAGGGAATATATAGAGTAGATGAGTGGGCCGATGTTCATGAATATTAGGTAGACGGGTGGGCCGAGGTAGTTGGATATTATGCAGATGGGTGTATTAAGGTAGATGTGTATGAGATAGATGGGTAGGTACTTGTTATCACATTCACGGGTGGGCCCAGACACATATTAAATTAGATGGGTGGGCCGAGGGTATTATAAAATATTGTATTAGACGGGTAGGCCCAGACACATATTAATTAGACGGGTGGGCCGAGGGTGTTGTATGGGATGTTGTATTAGATGGGTGGGCCGAGGGTGGTATAAAATATAGATGGGTGGGCCCATGTGTATCATAATTGTAGACATGATGGAGCTGAGGTAGTTGTACATCAACCAAATCAGAGGAGGTAATAAATCAAAGTTACCGAGTTCCCGGAGCAGCAGGTGATCTCCTGACATGGCCTTTGATGGTGCACAGGTTGTCTTGCAGAATTTGGAATCCGGGGTGCAAAGCTTGTGTTGCCCTACGAGACACCAAGTTCCGACCACCCAAATTTGGGTCAACCGTACCAACTTCTGAGTTCCAGGACCCGGGAGTCGACAAATGAATATCTGATAACCAGCACACTTCCAATCAGGTAGTATTTCATTGAGCAATGGATCATCCAAGGGGTCCCTTATCGGACTCGGTAGTCAATATAGGCAAATGATAATGAAAACATGAAAGTTGTTATTATGCTATTT